ATATGTCTCTGGAATGTCGGATATTCTTCTAAAGTTAGATGAAGAGAAATGATATTTTCTGATAAATTTAGATGCCACTGAGTATAGGAATAAAGAGGTAGCTAACTACAGAAATTCAAAAGGAAGGAAGGAAAGAGAAAGAAAGAAAGAAAGAAAGAAAGAAAGAAAGCAATCTTTTAGACAGTGTGATACTAGCAAATCAAGAATATATGAAGAATTAGTAAAGAGCATTTCCCTTTTTTTCTATTTTGCAGCATTTATCGCTTATTCTCCTCTGACAGAAAGCGCGTTGAGACTGCATTGGAAGCTTGTAATCTTCCATCTGCTAGAGTAAGTATTGGAACCTTTTTCATCTGATTTTAATAAGAAACATTGACCTTCGTTTCTCTTCCAGCCATACAATCCAGTTACTCTGATGTTAGTTCTAGTGTGTGTCAGTAGAATTTTTCATGCACTGAGTTTATATGCTAGTCTCTGGGTACATTCTATCGCTAAACATTGTAATAGGATTCCAACTTGGCAAATTTGCTGTGTCTACCCTTAGCTGTCTTATTTACAGAAAAATATTGGTTGCTGTTTTAGCGAGCAGCACTGGGGTAGGAAAAAGAAAAATATGTCAGAGCCTCAACAGGGATTTAGATGTTTTGGAGAAATGTATTCAGCATTTTGTCAAATTCCAACAAGGCAAGAGAATATCATGTCATATGTTTCCCCCAAACAACCTAAAAGTTTTCAATTTGAATCTAAGGAAGAAATGCTCTTGGGATGGTTCTTGGTGGCATTTCCTCTCCTATACATTTTGGAGAATGAGGTCTTGAATCTGAAATTATGTATGTACTATCTTTCTAATTAGGTTGGTTGACAAAACTTTTTAAGGACTACCGGTAACTAAAAACACCAATTAAGTAAAAAATGCAATGTGAATCTTTAGACATAAGGTTAAACAGGAGGGGGGGGGAATCTCTCTCTTGGAATGATAAAAGGACTTTGCCTGAAAAAACTGAACAGAAACAGAATTTGTAATAAGTGCTTAGGAAAATAAACCCTGGTTACTGATAGCCAAACAAGAGATGAAGAAACTCCTGGGTGGGTGGAAATGAGAGAGCCTGGGGAGCAGATGTGTGAGGATAGAGGATATGTTGCCAACTTTTGGTTTAATTAATGTGGAATTTATCTTTGTGGAAGGAAAACTATAAAGTTATTTAATTAATACCTTCAAGTACATCCTGATCTGTGCTGACAGTAGACAAAAGCATTCAATATGGAAAAGTGTCTCATCAGTCTCTTTCTGCAGGCAACATTGATTCCCTTTGATGGGGAGAGACACTGAGGATTATCTGATTAGTAAGCTTTCCTCCTACATGCCACAAAAATGCATATGGGATGTTAAGAAGTCTTCAAGAAAAATATTATGCAGTTTTAATAGTTTAAAGAGGAAGGGAAATTACCATGACAGAAATACGCAAGAGCTGTTTCATAAGCAAAGAGGGCTGAAAATTATGTCCTGGGAAGCAAGATAACATTCAGAAGCAATTCAGGCAGGCACCCTCTGATTCATTGGGGTAAATTTGGGGAGGAGGTTTAGCACAATCAGGCTGACAAACTTCTGTTATTACAGCCTATTTCAATAAGATATAGCTTTAATCTTCCAGTAGAGTTGATTTTATATTCTGGTCTACGTAGTGGGCTGATAGCCACCCACAAGCTACAGAGCTGAAGTTGGGCACATTTAATATCAAATCAGCAATGTTGAGAGAGGAAGTGGTATTCCAGATACTCTAGTTCAAGATGGCCTCTGGCTTGTTCATTCAAAATCAACATTCTGCCCATTTTTGGTGGCTAATGAAGTTATTTATCAAGTGATAGAATATGTATTTTTCTCCCTATTGAAAGCTTCACAGCTGAGGTTTTTGGGTTATTCTTGAAAGTCAGACCAGTATGAAATGCAGATATCTTAAGAGGGGAAGCAAATGTGGAACATCACTTGATCTTTCTATTATCTCCTGGGAATTTTTCCAGTCACTGGGATGTTGTAGGGGAAAAGGCCCAGTCTTTTAAAAAAACAAAACCAGAAGTAACAACACTGACAACAGTATCTTTTATGTAGCCATCTCTTATTACCTTGATAGTTGTACAAAGCAAAGAAATAAATAATGGCTCTGGCTTTTCTATCTTAATAATTCTCTCAACACAGCAGTATTTAAGCAAACCAGAAATTTGCTACATTTTTGTATATTTCAGCAAAACCTTTTATGTTTACTTTGACATTTCAGGAGTAACTTCCCATGAGCAAACAGTGTTTACCCATCCACTCTATAATTTTGCATCAGTTTAATTATTTTTGCTATCTCTCATGATACTTTCCACATAATGATTTTTATCACATTTCTGATAATGTAGTGTATTACATAGTGTATTACATCAAAATTTGTCAGTGACTTTCCCTCAGCAGCAAAGAATTAACTGTTGAATGTCCTAGAGGAGTAAAAACTGAATCAGAAACCCATTAAAATATATTACTTAGTGCAATAAGCTAAATGTTATTATGGTTCACATCCTTCATTCACAATTATCTGAAATCATTGTTAACATTCAGACCTCAGAAGCAGAATGTGTATTTTTAATTTGGAGTATATACCATGTCATCCTCATTTTACTGACCATTCATTCAGCAACCATTTGAAATTGGTGCTGAAAAAAACTTTACAGCTCATTTACTGCTTCCACAGCATATCTCAGTCATGTGCTTGCCATTATAGGCAGTTTTATGCCTGACCTGTGGTTTCTTCTCCCCATCCCCCGCAGAGCAGAGATATTGGAGAGGAAGGAATTTCATTACAGTAAGAGAGCAGAAAAAATGAAGAGAGAGAGGGGGATTTCAGGAGAGTAATCTATTAGTTTTTCTATACATCAAAAGCAATGTCAAACTGGCAGTCTGAGGGTGGGATCCATTGGCATGCTACACAAACAGTTTAAAGTACTATCTTGAAATATTTTTCTCTCTCTCTTCTCTGTGAAGTGGGTTGGGGAAGAGAAAAAACAAGCAATTTCTGTAGGCAATCTTATCTTTGCCTGATCATTTCCTGCTGCCACTGTGGTTGCATTCTTCTCAATGTATGGAAGAGCAAACAGCTACTCTCATGAAATCTCTTTTGGTCCAGTTCTCTGTTCTATCACTGGTTATCATCTAGTTAAGAAGATAGACTAGTCTTGGGAGACCCAGGTTCAATTGATCCCTTCCACGAAAACCTACAGGATGAATAAATAAGTACATGATTTGTTTCATCATTGATCAGAACAAAAGAGTTGAACAACAAATTGCGCAACAATAATGTAACATAATTAGCTAAATCAGGAACATGTTTGGTGTGATGGTTAAGTTGTCCTAGAAACCAAGAGACTGCGAGTTCTAGTCCCATCTTGGGCATGAAAACTAGTTAGGCCAGTCACTCTCAGCCCAACTCACTTCACATGTTCGTTGTTATGGGGAAAATAAGAGCAGGAAGAAATATTGGTTGTTAACAACCATGAGTTAGATATGAAACAAAGGTGGAATTTTAAAAATCCTTTAAAAACCCATTAAAGTTCATTCTAAAAGCTTAAACTTTTTTTTTAAACTATGTATATAAGATTCTAATGACAATGCATATAAATGAAATGAATGCTCTGTTTCTGGCCAGTCTTCTACACAAGGTGTTTATATGGATAAAATGAAAGAAGACCTGTGCGTAAACCAGTTACACTCCTGGAGATTAGCTGATATGTAAATCCAAACATTCCCATCAAAAGTGATTCTGATAGCATGACATCTTAATTTTGCAATCAGGTGTCTGTAGATTGAAGTATCCAGCTTCTGTATTGCTATAGCAGGGGGATGGGGGAATAAAGATTTGCCTGAACCCAGAAAGAGACACAGGTTTGGTGCATGTTACTTACTTCAGCAGAGAAATTTAAGGTGATAAGTTTTTTTTTAATTATAGTTGTTTAGGTAAATGCTCAGTTTTATTCTTCACAGCCAGATACTGCAATTAAATTCTTCAAAATGAAACGAAATAAATTATTTTGGCCATGACCAAGTTTAAACACAAATCGATGACAAAAAGTTACAGAGCTTGAGAAGAAGGTTAAAAGTTTTGAATGAGTAAATAATACAAGGGTGAACATACTAACTTACAGGAGAAGACCTAGTATACTTAAAAGAGCTAAAATTACAACATTTCTTTGTAATTTTACAAAATTATGCTATTCACAAAATCTCCTAGTCCAATCCTAACTCTACAACTAGTACAACTGGTCTTGTTTTCTAAGGGATAGGGCTCTAAGGTAAGGGTTCTAAGATGCATGCCTCATCCTGATCTGTTCTGACCCCCCACCTTGTTCGTTCAGAAATGACAGCCACACACAGCTTGCAAAGGAATGTCTTTATCAGTCCCGGCTCGAGCTGGCTGCGATCCCAAAATAAACATAGATAAATTCTCTGGCCAAAAGTTAAACAGCAAATGCAAAAACAATATCTTACAGCAAACCACTTCTCCAAGTTGGTTTCTTTGAATCATGAACATGAACAGGGAACCTTGACTAGAACAGGAACGGAACGGAACAGAACGGAACGAACGTTGACTTCTGCAACTAGGGCGTGGCACCATCAGTCTTTTATCCACAGGAGGAGATCCTTAACGAGCCACAGCTGCTTGTTATCCTCTCCTGCATGCATCCTGAAACAACTTACAGGAGGCTTCTGCTGAGTCACAACACTGATGTAAGCATAGTTAATGGCACATATATTGTGGGCACCAGCAAAAGCATAACTAGTCAACCATTGCTATGAGATAAGAAAGGGAAAGGGACTGAACAGAAATGGTATTTGAAGACAGAGTTCTGCAGGATAAAAGTACATGCATTTTGAAAAAAAATATTGTTCAAAGAATGTATAAGAACTGTGTTGTACAACTTCTCATACATGACATACTGTATCTCCAATAGCAACCTAATCACTTTTACACATTGTCCCTTATTTACCTAGCCTTTTCAACTATTTTTATGCCTTACTTAGCAGCTATTAAATTAGTCATTCACTAGTACAACCATTTAGCATTTAATAATTCGGACTGTGCTTGAGTAAGGTTTTTTTTATTTTAATTTTCAGCAACAAGTAAAAGTGTAATTAAAGAAATCCAGTACATGTTATAAACAATATTGGAAAGTGGTTGAAAATAAGAAATTATTTTAAGACGAGAACATGAAAATATTTTTAAAATCCACAACTGCTTAATATATTTACTAAATAAAAGTGAAACAAAAAGATGCATAGTTTGTTGTGACCCAGCCTTCACAAGTAATGATAAGCCACTTACTCGTGAGTAAAACAAACCCCTTTTCAAAACAGGCCAGGAAGAGACTTTTATTCATATTGTTAAACAAAAACCAAATGTAACTAGTCCCAACAAACCTGGTTCAGGCTGAGGAATCCGAGTTGCTTGCTATATACTAGAAAACAAATGGTTGTCTCCCAAACCCCTACTATTTATTTCCCAGCCAAGGAGAGGCTGGCTAGCATCTACTGTCAAGCCATGTCCCGGGCCGGACAGAGCACAGGTGATGGGGGTGACAGGGCTGCCAGCGTAGCAGCTACAGAGCAGCAGTGATGAGGGGTTGTCAGCTGAAGCAGCAATGGAGTGGAGACATTGCAAAGATGGCTGATAGCAATAGCAATAGCAGTTAGACTTATATGCCGCTTCATAGGGCTCTCAGCCCTCTCTAAGCAGTTTACAGAGTCAGCATATCACCCCCATAGTCTGGGTCCTCATT